CCCTCTAGCCTCGCCCCCATAGCCCCAGTCCCCGCCTTCTCCCTCTGCTTCCCCACGTGGGCGGATACGCGACGGCCTTGTCCGTGGAGAAGGGCAGGTGGGTCGTGCGCACCAGGAAGATGAGACAGGTGACCAGCAGGGCGCCCGAGTAGAGGCACAGGGACAGGACGAGCAGCATGAAGAAGCGAAAGTTGCGGTGACCGATGCAGTTATTGACCCACTTGCAGTGGTGGTCAAAGTCCTGGGCGACAGGGAGAGGGAGCAGGCTCGAGGACTTCTCCGACCCGACTTCGATCACTTTCCCCCTGCCCTCTAGCCACCTGCCCTTGGCCCATGCACCGGCTTCCACCCCCAGGGAGAAACAGCCAGTGTCCCTAAGGCTGGCATTTCCCTTGTTAGAGCACACCTAGGTCTCTGTGGTATATCAGGTCACCTGTCAGGAGACATTAGAGACAAGGCTTGCCACACCTGGGAGACACATCCTACTGTAACTTTGGGCAGAACATAAACCATCTCTGGGCCTCCACTTTCTCACCCATTAGATAAAGATGATAGCAGCACCCTTGCCCAGCCAGCACTTGTAAACCTATGCAGGCTGTGACCACAAGAGAGACGGCCACTCAGAGCCAGGAGACCCTCCAACTTGGACACCCAGGCAAGGCCTCCCAGACCAGGTGGGCAGTCAGCCTGAGGGGCTTGGGTATCTCATGTTAGTGAACTCAGGGGTGGGACAGGGAGCTGCCTCTCCTTCCCAGGCCTGACCCAGTCCAGGACAGATGTAGGTGCCTGTGCACGTCAGCACCTGTGCAGACACAAGGGCCAGTCTCCCGGGACAGGTGCAGGCAGACAGCACAGGAGTGACCAAGAGTGGCTGGGAGTTACTGGCGCCCTTGGCCTTTAGCCGTCCTGAGGGACAGCTTCACACCCAGCCCCGGCCCCTGTATGAGGGGCTCCTGGTCCCAGCCAGATGTGGGGTGATGGCTGGCTGGTGGGCAGGTAGAGGGGCACTCACCTCCACACAGACGTTGCACCAGGGGCAGTGGTAGGTCCCAGGCGGGCAGTGGAAGCAGCACTTTGGGCACCACTGCAGGCGGAAGGCCCTGTGGTTCACCCACACCACGTGCATGGTCAGGGGCCCCTGCTCAGCAGAGCCTGGTGTGGGAAGAGGGTTGGGCACAGCAGAAGGCCCTGCGGTCACTCTGCAGCTGGGGCAGCTCCATGGCATCACAGGGCATGAGGAAGGGTGGAGACGAGGTGGGCAGGGGAACCTGGTCCCCACTGAACAAGCTGTCCAAGTTCAGAGAGGATGGCAGTCAAAGGGCAGACGGGTTTTCAGCCAGGAGAGTTTTGCATAAAACTCAGGCCTGGTATGGCACGGTGGCTCATGCCTGTAATGCCAGCACTTTGGGATCACCTGTGGTCAGGAGTTCGAGACCAGCCTGACCAACATGGAGAAACCCCGTCTCTACTTAAAATACAAAAAATTAGCCAGGCTTGGTGATGCATGCCTGTAATCCCAGCTACTCGAGAGGCTGAGGTAGGAGAATTGCTCGAACCCAGGAGGCGGAGGTTGCCGTGAGCCGAGATGGCACCACTGCACTCCAGCCTGGGCAACAAGAGCAAGACTGTCTCAAAAAAAACCAAAACCTCGGGCCTTTGGAGCAGTGCGCGCTGCCCTCAGTTGCGTTGTGCAGTGAAGGGAGGCGGTTTGGAAGAGCCCACTGGCCTCTGGCCCTGGCGCCCCCAGTTCTCCCATCTAGGGCACCGGGAAACCTCAACAATTCTGTTTTTCCACACTTTGGTGGCTTAAGAAATGGGGTGCCAGGGCCAGAGCAATGAAGACATGGGGTGAAGGGGTCCAGAGGCTGGAGGAGGGCGGCAGGAAGGGCGCTTTAGGAGCCATCCCTGCAGGTACAGTCCTTGGGGTGCCACCTCCTTCTCCCGGGGCTGATGCCTCACCTTGATGTAAGATGCCAGGGTCTGAGAAGTTGAGTGAAACAAGGCTGAAGAAGGTGAGGACAAAGAGGGGGCCTGTGACCACAGGAAAGGCCCACTCCCCGTTCTGAGCCAGCCACCTGCAACTGAGACGGGACCCGGGCTAGACCTCAGCAGGGGCAGCCTGGCTTACCTGGGTCAGGGTAAGGACCCACAGACCTTAAAGCCAGCTCTCAAAATCCAGGCTCCAGATACCCAGGCAGACTCATAACGGCTCCGCCAATGTCACCAGCATGGCCAGCCGCCCACAGCTCCCCGGCTGCACAGACACTGACCTCTGTGCCTTTGCACTTTCGGTTCCCTAGACCTAGAGCAGCCCTCCATCCCTGACCTCTGCCCCGTCTTCTGCACCCCGGCCCGCACCCTACCATCCCCTTCCGTTTCCCTTGCTGTCTCTCTATAGGAAACCTAACAGCTTGCCTGGAGACTCACGGAAATGCGAAGAAGAGGCCACTGAGAAAGACCAGCAGCACCACATTGCAGGCGGCAAACAGGCTGGGGAGGACCCAGGGAAGTGGGAGCAGAGGCGGGGGACGGCGCTCCTTCACGAGGGGCAGGGCGTCCCTTAAGGGTATCATGGCTGGGCCTCCTGCGCCTCCAGGGCAGGTCACAGCCAGCCAGCTTCCTCCCCAGCCCAGCTTTCAGAGCTCCAGGGCGGCCTCAGAGCCACTGCCCAGGATGAAAGGAAAGAAGCCCAGTGTGACATCACAGAGGCTGGGGGTCCTCAGTAGAGCTGTCTGCAGCTGCTCTGGCTCCCTGTGGTGACAGGCACTCCCAACAGCAAACCCCACCCCAACCCCACATACTGGGAACCGAGGTCCTGCCCTGGAGAGGTTGGCATTGCTGGAGGATATGACTTTGGAGAAATGTGTGGGGAAGAAAGCCGGTAATTTTCAGTCGGGCGCTGTAATCCCTGCAATCCCAGCACTTTGGGAGGCTGAGGCAGGTGGATCACTTGAGGTCTGGAGTTCGAGACCAGCCTGACCAACATGGTGAAACTCCGTCTCTACTAAAAATACGAAACTAGCCGGGAGTGGTGGAGAATCACTTGAACCTGGAAGGTGAAGGTTGCAGTGCGTGAGATCACACCACTGCACTCCAGCCTCCTGGGTGACCGAGGGAACGCCATCTCAAAAAAAAAGAAAAAAGAAAAAGCAAGTTGCTGAGTTTTATCACCCCTTCAAGCCCAGTGCTGGTGGGAGCAAACAGGGCTAACTGCCCATCCTAGCTCCGTGTTTTTATTTGCTGCAACCAAATTCCAGTGTGGGGGAGGGGGCAGCACTCCGCTCTGCTAAATAATTTCCCAGCTTTGGCTTCGTGACGCAGTTCTGCTCATTGAGACACAGGTGGATACCTGTTGAGGGCATCTACAAAACCTTTTTCCTGCCAGATAAAACGGAAGAAGACACCGCTGGAGAGCTCTGTCCCCTTCCTTCTGTCTTGAACAGAGGCGTGCTGGCTAGAGTGCCACCTTGGGGCCTTAGGCCACACGCCAGCACGCTGCCCAGCAGAGCCCAACCGCACTGCTGAGCCGAGGCCCAGCCCTGAACCGCCTCCCGCTGAGCTGCCTATTTTATTTATTTATTTAGAGAGGGAGTCTGGCTCTGTCGCCGGAGCTGGAGTGCAGTGGCACAATCTCGGCTCACTGCAACCTCCACCTCCCAGGTTCACTTGATTCTCCTGCCTCAGCCTGCCAAGTAGCCGGGATTACAGGCACACACCACCAAGCCTGGCTAATTTTTTGCATTTTTAGTAGAGATTTTTGCATTTTAGTAGGGGTTTCACTGTGTTAACAGACTGGTCTCCAACTCCTGACCTTGTGATCCGCCTGCCTCAGCCTCCCAAAGTGCCGGGATTACAGGCGTGAGCCACCACGCCCAGCCCTGAGCTGCTTATTATGTGAGAAAATAACGGGGCTTTTCATTCCACGCAGCTGACATGATCTGTCTGTCTGTAGAGACAAGGTTGGCCTTGATTGAACCTCTGGCCTAAAGCAATCCTCCTGCCTTGGTCTCCCAGAGCACTAGGATGACAGGCATGAGCCACTAACCCACCTCAGCTGACACTTGGCACTTGTTTTGGTGACTAAGCATCTGAACCCCATCAGGGCTCGGAGGATCTACACGCTGTGCATCTTGGTCAGGGTCAAAAACCATTTCCCTATCCCAACTGCAGCTGCAAATGGCCAGACACTCACTGTGGAGTTCTCTCTGTGGCTACTGCACAGGCCGTGACCCAGGTGCCACCAGGCAACTTCAGAGCTCCTGCCGCCAACTCACCGGGGACTCTGTGCTGAGACTTTGCACGTGTTGAAGTGTAACACTCATTTTGCAGGTTACTTGAATTCGACACTGATCTCATTATTCCACAACACAGATAAAATAGGTAATTCCGCTAGGCATGGTGGCTCACGCCTGCAATCCTAGCACTTTGGGAGACCAAGGCAGGAGGAGGGATGGCTTGCGCTCAGGAGTTCGAGACCAGCCTGGACAACATGGTGAGACCTTGTCTCTACTAACAATAAAAAATCTAGCCAGGTAGTGGTGTGCACCTACAGCACCAGCTACTCAGGAGGCTGAGCTGAAAGGGTTACTTGAGCCCTGGAAGGCCAGGGCTGCGGCGAGCTGTAATTGTGCCCCTGCACTCCAGCCTCTGGGCAAAAGAGCGAAACCTAACTCAAAAAAAAAGAAAAGTAATTTCAAGATTCTCCCTAATACGTTTTCATTTATTTGTTTTATTTTATTTTATTTTTTATTTATTTATTTTTGAGACAGTCTCACTCTGTCACCCAGGCTGGAGTGCAATGGCACAGCCTCAGGTCACTGCAACCTCTGCCTCCCGGGCTCAAGTGATTCTCCCACCTCAGCCTCCCGAGTAGCTGGGATTACAGGCGCCCACCACCACACCCGGCTATTTTTTATTTAAAAAAGAAATGAGACAGGCCGGGCATGGTGGCTCACACCTGTAATCCCAGCACTTTGGGAGGCCAAGTCAGGCAGACCCCTTGAGGTCAGGAGTTCGAGACCAGCCTTGCCAATATGGTGAAACCCTGTCTCTACTAAAAATACAAAAATTAGCCGGGGGTGGTGGCACACGCCTGTAGTCCCAGCTACTCGGGAGGCGGAGGTGGGAGAATTGCTTGAACCCGGGAGGCAGAGGTTGCAGTGAGCCAGTTGTGCCACTGCACTCCAGCCTGGGGGACAGTGAGTCACCTTCCCAAAAAATAAAAAGAGCTGGGCACGGTGGTGGTGCCTGTAATCCCAGCTACTTGGGAGGCTGAGGCTTGAGCCCAGGAGTTCTGGGCTTTAGTGCGCAGTGCCAGGTGTCTGCCCTAAGTTTGGCATCAATATGGTGACCTCTCGGGAGTGGGGGACCACCAGGTTGCCTAAGGAGGGGTGAACCACCCCAGGTTAGAAACGGAGCAGGTGAAAACTCCCGTGCTGATCAATAGCGGGGTCGCGCCTGTGAATAGCCACTGCACTCCAGCCTGTGCGACATGGCGAGACCTCGTCTCTAAGAAAAAATAAAAAAGAAGAGACACACCTCACGGTGTGGCCCAGGCAACACCAGGGCTCAGGCAGCCCTCCGGCCTCAGTATCCCAAGGGGCTGGATTACAACCCTGAGCCGCTGCACCCAGCCCCTGTTTATGGACTTTTTGTGTCATTAACCTATTGCTTTTAGCACTGTGTATTTTGATTTTTGGTAGTTTTTGAATTCAGGGGAGCTCTTTGCATTCTTGTCATCCTCTAAATCCCTAAAATTGTGATGTTATGTAGCAAAAGCATCGTAACAAAAAATTCACTAATGAACTCACCTAAGAGCCCCACTTAATCATCTCCTTTCATTCATTTCTTTTTATGTTTTATATATTGATTTTTTTTTTAATTGAGACAGAGTTTCACTCTTGTTGCCAAGGCTGTAGTGCAGTGGCACAGTCTTGGCTCACTTCAACCTCTGCCTCCCGGGTTCAAGCGATTCTCCTGCCTCAGCCTCCCAAGTAGCTGGGATTACAGGCGTGTGCCACCACCCGTGGCAAGTTTTATGTTTTTAGTAGAGATGGGGTTTCTCCATGTTGGCCAGGCTGGTGTCAAACTCCTGACTTCAGGTGATTCGCCTGCTTCAGCCCCCAAAGTGCTGGGATGACAGGCGTGAGCCACCGCGCCCCGCCTTTCTTTTTTTTTTTGAGACAGAGTTTTGCTCTTGTTGCCCAGGCTGCACTGCAATGGCACAATCTCGGCTCACTGCAACCTCCACCTCCTGGGTCCAAGCAATTCTCCTGCCTCAGCCTCCTGAGTAGCTGGGACTGCAGGTGTGCACCACCACACCCAGCTAATTTTTTGTATTTTTAGTAGAGATGGGGTTTTGCCATCTTGATCAGGCTAGTCTCAAATTCCTGACCTCAGGCAATCTGCCCGCTTCGGCCTCCCAAAGTGCTGGGATTAGAGGCGTGAGCCTCCAAGCCCGGGCAGAGATTTCGTCTTATAACGAGGCCAAGGGTAGAGTGGTCACTCCTCTGCTGTTGTGCACGTGCAGGCCATGCGTTCACTGCCTTCAGTATAAGATTTGAAGTGGGGCGCTGCCTATCTGAGCTTTTCAGGGTGCTGTGATCCGCGGACGTGGCACCTTGAAGATTTCTAGTGGAATGCTGCTTATCTGACTTTTTCGCTGTCCTGTAGTTAGCAGGTAGGGAAAAAGAAAGAAGAAGAAAGCAAAGGGGAATTCATCCACGGCCTGGGAGCCGAGCCCCATCCCCCGTGTCTCAGTAAGTATCAGATGGTGCTATCATATAATTTTGTGGGAAAAAACAAGCCTCAGAAATGGAATTCCGAAGGACTCATTCTTTTTGGTTCTAAAAATCCGTTTCTGACAGCTGGTCTCGACTGACCAAGCCCTCCCTGGGACGGGCCGGCCTCAAGTCAGGACCCCGGCTGGCCGGATTCCTGGCCACACTGCACAGAACACAGCCCCTCGGGGACCCTGGGTGGGGTGGAAGCCCCTCCCCTCACTGACACCCTGCTGGTCTCTCCTGGGGTCTCCCAGTCTCTGCTGCCCAGCTGCGAAACTGACCCTCACACTAAGGAAGGTCAGCTTCTCGGCCCAACCACTGCCCCTCCGAGTCCCTCCCGCCCTTCTACCCTCCCCGTCCCCCTTCCCCACTGTGTCCGAAGTTTCTAGGAACATCCTCAGGACCCTGTTGTCGGCTCTGGGAAGTCCAAAGTTCAGGGTTTTGGGCAATTAAACCCAAGGCCTGTCAGCGGGCTAGGGGTGAATGACCAGGGAGCATTCCTGCGGAAATGGTGGGAGGACGCTGAGTCAGTCTGTGTCTTTGTCAGGGTGGGGCTGAGGCCATTGACCCTCTGGGGGTCAGGGTCCTTACCTGCCTCTTCCTCCCCTGACCTCCACCTTAGGAGGCAGCTGGGCCGCTGAGATGCCTGCATCACAACGTTGTCCTCTGCCAAGAGCTGGACTTTTTAGGAGGAGGGTGAAACTGGACGGGACCCAGCTTGGCTCTTGGGAGAGGCTTTGAGGGGTCTGGGACAGGAGCGGGGCTCCTCTGCGTATGCCATCAGGGATGCTTTCTCTGCTCGTAGGGCCCAGCAGCCCAGGGCAGGGAGCCCCTCTGCCTTCCCGGAACTGACCCTCTGCACCCTCTCCTGGACCCTCTTCTCCCTACCTACAACCTCCACCGTGCGCAACGAAGCCCCTCCCCCAGGCCTCTCTGGCTGCTCTCCACACCCCCGTGGCTCTCTAACCTGGTTTCTTAACCTCTCTGGACCTCAGCTTCCTTATCTGTAAAATGGGAATAAGGATACTGCTTCCCCCGTAAAGCAGTCGTAACGTTTAAATAAGCCAAGGCCCACACTGCATGTCTGGCACAGCAGACGTGCTAACAGACTGCCTGCTGCTCTGAGTTTATGCTTTTGTCAATTACGCAAGCAAATCCTAAGGAACACTTCGTGTGTGCCAGGCTCCACGCCAGGAACCGAGAGGACCACGGTGCCGCAGTGCAAGACGCTGTGTGTGGCTTCAAAGAGATTTCCATCTCTTTGGACAGAGAGAAAAGAGAAGCTGTCAACCAGCACGATGGGCTGTAAGCACATGACTCGGAGGGCTTCAGGGCCTGCCAGCAACTCAGACCCTCGGGTGCACCCTCCTCCTGGGGCGCATCTTCAGGCCCAGTGGCGGGTGGGCTAAGCCTGGCATCAAGAGGTGATGAGCGGGCTTTGGGAGACCCACACCTCATCTGGCTGCTCCAACCTGTCCTCCTTCCCACGTGAGGCCTCAGGCCTAAGTCCCCCCCCGCGGAGTCCCGGGCCTGGGTTCCAGCAGGTTCCTCAGTGAGGAGCCAGGGCTTCGTCTCCACCCACCCCAGGCAGGAGTTTCCCGGTGCGTCCACCCCACCCCAGAAGGCTCCTTGAAGGGCAGGGTCGACTCCCCAGGATGGGCAGGGCGGGGCGCTTGTCCCAGCGGTGGGAGGAGCCACACGGGAGCTCTGCCAGCAAGAGGATCAAATTCCTCCAGGGTGAACTGTGAGACAGAAAGTCCCAGCAGCCGGGAAGGCCCTGGAACTGCACCTGCCCTCAACCCGCCCGGCAAGGCCCCCACGCGAGGCCCTTCCTGCCCCTCAGTGCCCCGGGGAGCGCTGGAGAGAAAGCAGCGATGGAGCCGGGCAGGACCCAGATACAGCTTGACCCGCGGTGAGTGAGGGCCAGGCATAGTGGGGCAGGGCTGAGCACCGCTGCCCCGAGGTCCTCAGGGACAGTGTGGGTTTGGGCCCTTGTGAGCCTTGCCCCCAGTGTGAGGAGGACCCCACAGGTGGGGGCAGCCAGGCCGCGCTCCCCAGGACCCACCCCTTCTCTGGCCGGCCCCTGGACTGCTGCCTGATCAGAGTGGAGACAGCCCTGGGTGGGCTCTCCAGGCATGCAGCCAGCACAGCCCTGGCCGGGTGGCAGCTTGTCTTACTCCCCAGCCTGGGCCAATTCTCCTCTCCCTCTAAGAAAAGGGCCATGAGGCTCCTGTGATCTCAGCGCTTTGGGAGGCTGAGGCGGGAGTCCAAGAGTTGGAGACCAGTGCCCAAGCAACATGGCGAAATTCTGTCTCTACTAAAAACGTAAACAGTCAGCCAGGGTGACACACACACACACACACACACACACACACACACACACACACACGCAGAACAAAAAGGGCCCTGAGGGGAAATGGACAAAGTCCCCGCACTTGGGAGTCTCTGAGGGTCCAGTGTGCAGCCCCCACCCCCACCCCGCATGGTTCCAGGACTGTCTGAGGGTCCATATGTGCAGAACTCCCCCCGCCCCCCATGGTTCCGGGAGTCTCTGAGGGTCCAGTGTGCAGAACTCCCACGCCCCCCGCCCCCCATGGCTCTGAACACAGGCTGGTCTCTCACCAGATACACGGCAGATCTTCTGGAGGTGCTGAAGACTAATTACGGCATCCCCGCCGCCTGCTTCTCTCACCCTCCCACCGCAGCCCAGATCCTGAGAGGTGAGTGGGGACCCTCCCTAGAGGGAACTGAGAGCAAGAGACACATGACCCAAAGGGGAGCCAGGCCGGCCGAGCGAAGCTGGGGAGAGGCGGCCCTGAGCTGGTCCACCTGCACAGAATAACTGGCCGCGTGTCCGTCACCTTAACAAGGTGGCTAAGGCCTTGGAGAAGGGAACCTTCTCAAGGAGTCAGTGGCCAAAATGGTAGCATGAGAGCCCAGCTCCGGAGAGCAGCCATCCTGCTGGGCCTCCGCAAGCCGGCCTCAAAGCTCATTCAAACTGGGGAATATGCGACCTGGGGTGCTTTTTCTGACCCGAGTCATCTAGGGACCCAAGATGGCACCCAAGTGGTCCGAGCACCATAGGGTCTCCTGGAGGCCTGCACAGCATCCTCCCCGGAGAAGGGCCTGTATCATTCTAGAGGGGAGGTTGTTGTGAGTGATGTGCTCCACACAGGTGGACCCAGTTCTATCTGTTTTACGACGCAGCCTTTCTGAAAAACCCTTGTTCTTGGCCAGGCTCGGTGGCTCACGCCTGTAATCCCAGCAATTTTGGGAGGCTGAGGCTGGAGGATCACCTGAGGTCAGGAGTTTGAGACCAGCCTGTCCAACATGGTGAAACCCCGTCTCTACTAAAAATACAAGAGTTGGGCTAGTGTGGTGGCCTATGCCTGTAGTCCCAGCTACTTGGGAGGCTGAGGCAGGAGAATCGCTTCAACCTGGGAGGCGGAGGTTGCAGTGGGCTGAGATCGCGCCAGTGCACTCCAGCCTGGGTGACAGAGTGAGTGAGACTCCATCTCAAAAAAAAAAAAAAGAAAAAGTGAAAGGCATAGGGTGGGGCTCCACGTACTCCCTGGGCATGAAACACTGGGGACCAAGGCCTGGAATGCTTAGAGAAAGCGCGGCTCCGGCCTGCACACTGTGGGTTCCCTGTGCATGCTGACCACCTCTGACACGCCGGATCAAAGGCTGCGTCTCTACAGTGTGCTGAATGCGTTTCCCAGGCAGCAGGACGCGTCAGTATGCATTCACACGCAGACACGGCACGTCCTTGGACTGTATGGCTTCGCTTTCAGATGAACCAGTGCGAATGCCCATGGCCAGGGCGTCCAGACGTGCCTGGTGGCCACGCCGTGGTCAGTGCCAGTACGTGGCTGCTACAGCAGTTCCAGGAACCTGTTCAGAGTGCAGCTGGTGGCACAAGCCTCGCTCACACAGCAGCTCTCACCGAGGGAACATTTGCCAGTCTCTGGAGAGGGTTTCCATTGCCATGCTGGAAGGTACCTTGTGGGCAGAGGCCAGGAGAGCTGCTAAACTTCCTACAGTGCACAGGACCGCTCCCCACAAAAGATGATTCAGGCCGAAGGGTCAATAGTGCTCAGGTTGAGAAACCCTTCCGTACACAACGAAAACGGGTTCACATTGCTTTGCTACAAAATGTGCAAACAGAACCCCCAAGGCTGTTCAAAACAGAGACGCCATTCTAAGCCTGCTGGTCCGGCAAGCTGCAGGCAGAGTGGGTGGGATTTGGGCAGTGGGCCCTCCAGGGCGGGGAAGCTGAGCAGAGGAGTCGGCGGGTGCCCCAGGCTGTACTTTATCCTGCAGAGGGAAGGAGCTGGCGAGGGCTCTGAGATTGGGAGAGGCCGGGAGAGGCCGGATGAAAGTAGTGCTTCATGACCGTTAATCAGTAATCAGGACGGACTGCAGAGGAAGAGCCTTAAAAGCAGGGATGTGGCGGGGCGCGGTGGCTCATGCCTGTAATCCCAGCACTTTGGGAGGCTGAGGCGGGTGGATCATTTGAGATCAAGAGTTCAAGACCAGCCTGGCCAACATGGTGAAACCCTGTCTCTACTAAAAATACAAAAATTAGCTGTGTGTGGTGGTGGACACCTGTAATCCCAGCTACTCGGGAGGCTGAGGCAGGAGAATCGCTTGAACCTGGGAGTCAGAGGTTGCAATGAGCCGAGATCACCCCACTGCACTCCAGCCTGGCAACAGAGCGAGACTCTGTCTCAAAAAAATTGTATGCTCTGCAGGAATCATATTTAACTTTGATGCATTTCCAAAAATCCCCTCGCCGTGGAATACTTCTGTCCCATAGTATCCATTCAGATGCACTTTTGGGGAAATTGGGTTCAACCAGGAAAGAAGAGGCCACCTTCTAAGAAGATAAAGAGTTTGATGGAAAGCCCAGTACCGGGCTGCGGGTGCTAAGGAGCTTGTCCTTTCCTGATTAGAGCACCAAAGGCAAGAGATGTAAGACACTGCGACAGCATTCGCGTGAGAGAATCTGCCCGCCTCATCTCCGAGAGGGAACGGTTCTCCTACGGTTGCCTTTGATCACCTCTCCCGTATCCACACGTACACACACCTAGAGTCACTGTGTGCGGTGCAGAAGAATCGTGTGGGCTTAGCGTCGTGAACCCGAGCTTCCTTCCAGGCTGTGTGACCATGGGCAAGGTGCTTCATTCTCTGAGCCTAGTTTCCTGAAAAAGTCTATAAAATGGGGGTGATGACGGGAATTACCACAGGGTTATATCTTTCATTAAACCAACAGTTGCACAGCAGTTACTGCTCCAGTCATCTGAGAACAGAGCACAAGCTTGACAAAGTCCCTGCCTCCATGGAAAGTCCACACTGAGCTAGTAAACAGCTCTGTGGACACAGATAGCCCCGACGTGGCTGGAGGACGTAACCTCACGGGGACATCACCTGGAATGGAGATTTCCAAGGGGCAGGGAGCAGTTAGGGAAATGAAGACTGGGAAAGGCTGTGGGTTTATGGCTTGTGAAAGGGCAGTTTTTACACTCTGAGGGCTGATGAGGACTCGCTGGGGGTTAGGGAGGCTCTGGCAACGGCCACCCTTGCCAACCCTTGCCAAACCACGGAATATTGGTTTTAGGAAACCATCTGCATTAATTTTGGCTTTTTCCTATCTGGACTTTGCCTATTGTCTGAATTTTTTTTAATTACACATTTTTATTATAAAAATCATTCAGGTTTAATAAAAAATAGATATATAGCAGTAAAAAGAAAAAAAAAATCATCTACAATCACACCCAGAGACAGGCACTGCAAGTATCTTAGTGTAATTTCCTTTTTCTGTGCTTCTTTTTTTTGATACTGAGTCTCGCTCTTTTGCCCAGGCTGGAGTGCAATGGCGCAATCTCAGCTCACTGCAACCTCTGCCTCCCAAGTTCAAGCATTCTCCTGCCTCAGCCTCTCAAGTAGATGGGATTACAGGCGCACGCCACCACACCCAGCTAATTTTGTATTTTTGCTAGAGACGGGGTTTCACCATGTTGACCAGGCTGGTCTCAAACTCTTGGCCTCAAGTGATCTGCCTGCCTCAGCCTCCCAAAGTGCTGGGATTACAAGCATGAGCCACTGTGCCCGAACCTTTCCCTGTGCTTTTATTTAACATTTGTAGATCATACTAGTCCTATAATTTTATGTTCTGTTTTTGTAAGCATGACATTAAAATAAAATTTTCACATCATTGTATATTTGGAAAAATGTTTTTCTCTAAAAAAAAAAAGTTTATTTTTGTTATAAAATACATATTCATTATAGAATAATTAGAAAAGAGAGACACTAGAGATTTTCACACACAGAGAAAAGGCCGTGTGAGGACACAGTAGAGAGTGGCTGTCAGCCGGCTGCTGTGGCTTGCACCTGTGATCCCAGCACTTTGGGAGGCTGAGGCGGGCGGATCCCTTGAGGTCAGGAGTTCGAGACCAGCCTGGCCAACACGGTGAAACCCCATCTCTACTAAAAATAGAAAAATTTGCCGGGTATGGTGGCAGGTGCCTGTAGTCCCAGCTACTCAGGAGGCTGAGGCAGGAGAATCGCTAAAACCCGGGAGATGGAAGTTGCAGTGATATGAGATCAGGCCACTGCACTCCAGTCTGGGCAACAAGAGTGAAACGCCATCAAAAAAAAAAAGAAAAGAAAGGGAAGGAATGAAGGGAGGGAAGGAGGGAGGGAGGGAGGAAGGAAAGGAGAAAGAAAAGGAGGAAGGGAGGGAGGGAGGAAGGAAGGGAGGGAGGGAGGGAGGGAGGAAGAGAGGGAGGAAGGGAGAAAGGTGGTTGTCTGCAAGTGGAGGAACAAGGCCTCAGGAGAAACCAAACCTGCTGACACCTTGATCTTGAACTTCTAACCTCTAAAACTATAAGAAAATAAATTTAAGGTGTTTATTATTTTATTTTATTTTTATTTTTATTTATTTATTTTTTTTTTTTGAGACGGAGTTTCGCTCTTGTTACCCAGGCTGGAGTGCAATGGCGCGATCTCAGCTCACTGCAACCTCCGCCTCCTGGGTTCAGGCAATTCTCCTGCCTCAGCCTCCTGAGTAGCTGGGATTACAGGCACACGCCACCTGCCCAGCTAATTTTTTGTATTTTTAGTAGAGACGGGGTTTCACCATGTTGACCAGGATGGTCTCGATCTCTTGACCTCGTGATCCACTCGCCTCGGCCTCCCAAAGTGTTGGGATTACAGGCGTGAGCCACCGCACCCGGCCTACACCATCTCTTAAAGAGAGAGAGAGTGCCTGCCTGCCTGCCTCACTGGCTACCTTCTCGCCTGTCACCAGATTTCTGAGGAGAGCACAGCTCTCTGGATCAACACCTTCCTCGGCGTGTCCACGCTGTTGGCCCTCTGGACCCTGGGCATCCTCTTCCGTCAAGCCAAGCTACACCTGGGTGAGCAGAACATTGGAGCCAAGTTTGCTCTGTTCCAGGTAACGATACCCTGGGAGAGAAAAGATGTTTAATAACAGAGCTACAAGTGATTGGGGTTAGGGGGCAAGACCAATCAAGGCTCCAAGTGGGCCTGGGAATCTTTTTCCTAAGCCTCGGGTCTCTCATGAGATTCGAAAATGATTGCTGTGCTTCCCACTTTCCGTCTTTCTGTGCTGCAATTGTTTCCCAGGGCTGCCATGGCAAAATACCACAAACCAGATGGCGTAAAGCAACAGACATGTAAGCCCAGCACTCTGGGAGGCTGAGGTGGGCGGATCTCCTGAGGTCAGGAGTTTGAGACCAGCCTGACCAACATGGAGAAACCCCGTCTCTGCAAAAATACAAAAGTAGCCAGGTGTGGTGGTGCACACCTGTAGTCCCAGCTACTCGGGAGGCTGAGGCAGGAGAACTGATTGAACCCAGGAGGCAGAGGTTGCAGTAAGCTGAGATCATGCCATTGCACTGCAGCCTGGGCAACAGGAGCAAAACTCCATCTCAAAACAACAACAACAACAACCAGATATGTATTGTCGCATTGTGTCACGCTCCTTCTGCACCCCGAGGGCTCTCCACCCTTCCACCCTGGCCTCCCTAGTTTCTGGGCTTGCCGGCAGTCCTGGGCGATCCTTGAGCAGCATCTGCGTCACTCCAGTTTCTGCCTCCATCACATGATATTCTTGCCTGTGTTTCTGCGCATCTTCTATTATTATTATTATTATTATTTTTGAGATGGAGTCTTGCTCCGTCACCCAGGCTGGAGTGCAGTGGCGCCATCTCAGGTTAAGCGATTCTCCCGCCTCAGCCTCCCATGTAGCTGGGACTACAGGTGTGCACCACCACGCCCAGCTAATTTTGTATTTTTAGTAGAGACAGGTTTTGCCATGCTGGCCAGGCTGGTCTAAACTCCTGACCTCAGGTGATCTGCCTGCCTTGGCCTCCCGAAGTGCTGGGATGACAGCCGTGAGCCACAATGCCCACCATCTTGTCTATTTTTAGGACACGAGTCAAATTGGATTGAGAGCCACAGTATTCCATTATGGCCTCATCTTAACTAATTACATCTGTAACAAACTGTTCTTAAATACGGTCAAAGTACGAGGGCTCAGGACTTCAGCACAGCTTTTTGGGGGACACAATTTAACCTATGACACGTATGTTAACAAACATTACATTTGTCTACCCTTGCTTCTCGCTTTCCTTTTCTACCTGTGACTTCCTAAAACTCTGTAATCCATCAACACCAGCAGCAGTCTCCAGCGACCGCTATAGACTACCTACACCATGTGCTAGGCATTTCGTACACTACACTTAAATTTTCACAATCCTGGAACTCATTATTATTCCCATTTTACAAAGGAAGAAACAGACCCAGAGATGTCCTTGCTCAAAGGCACGTAAGGGATAAGGCTAGAATCCATACCCAGGTGTGTCCGACTCCTCCACACTCTGTCTTCTCAGTTCCCTGCCTCTTTGTCTTCACGCCGCTTCTGAAAATTCTCAGAGGCATGTCTGCCCACTTTCTGTGGGCGGCATTCTCTCTCTAATCCTCCAAATGCAGTGACCTGTGACCCAGTCCTGTTCTCCTTTCTCCATCCTGTCTCCTTGCTGGTCTTCTACTCCCAAGGCGCAGTGACTGGCCTACAGTTAACAGTGATTTCACCTACCTCCTTCCACCTACGTACATGCCTCCCAACTGTGAATGTCCAGGCACATAGTAGGTAGAATGGAAGGGGCTGTGGGAACAGAGAGAAGTCCCTGGAATGAGTCAGAGACTGAAGGGGCAGCAAGGTTCTGAGTCCCAGAAGTACTTAAGACCAGGTTGAAGGATAAAAACCCTGTGATTGCCGAGCCTGCCCAAGGCTAATGTGGAGAGCGTGGACAAGCCCCACTGGCCTTGAAGAAGCGATGCTTCTCCACAGTGTACTCGGAGGGCTTCCAGGGCCTCTGGATCTTCTTCTCCTCACTCTCCTTCTTTCTTTATTGTGGTGAAATACTGATAAAATTTGCCCTCTTAATGATTTTTTTTTTTTTTTTTTTTTTTTTGAGACAGAGTCTCGCTCTGTTGCCAGGCTGGAGTGCAATAGCGAGATCTCAGTTCATTGCAACCTCCGACTCTGGGGTTCAAGTGATTCTCCTGCCTCAGCCTCCCGAGTAGCTGGGATTACAGGCATGTGCCACCACGTGTGGCTAATTTTTGTATTTTTAGTAGAGACGGGGTTTTACCATGTTGGCCAGGATGGTCTCAATTTCTTGACCTTGTGATCTGCCTGCCTCGGCCTCCCAAAGTGCTGGGATTACAGGTGTGAGCCACTGTTTCCAGCCCAATGATTTTGAAGTGTAACGTTCTGTGGCATTAAGTACATTCGCACTGTTGCACAACCATTACCTCCATCCATGCCCAGAACTTCTGAAATTTCCCCTGCTGAAACCTGGTACCCATTCAACACGAATTCCCCGTTGCCCACTCCTCTCAGTCCCTGGCATGGCAGAGACTTTTCAAAGGGCACTTGAATGGTTAGTTGTCCAGTATTCTAGGAGCAGAGACCTCAGGCACTTGAGCTGGATGAAATAACTCTTCTCTAATCACCCCACCTTTTTTTATCCATTAAGTGCTCATTGGTAGCCACGGCTGGGACAGGAGTTAAAAATGAACCCCTTCATCAGTTCTTAAATCTTGTCAGAAATTCTAAAATATTGGGTAGAGGCCCGGGCGCAGTGGCTCATGCCTGTAATCTCAGCCCTTTGGGAGGCTGAGGTGCGCAGATCACGAGGTCAAGAGATCAAAATCAGCTTGGCCAACATGGTGAAATGCTTTCTCTAATAAAAATACAAAAGTTAGCCTAGTGTGGTAGTGTACGCCTGTAGTCCCAGCTACTCGGGAGGCTGAGGCAGGAGAATCGCTTGAACCCAGGAAGCGGAGGTTGCAGTGAGCCGAGATCACACCACTGCCCGCTAGCCTGGCAACAGATCAAGACTCTGTCTCAAAAAAAAGAAAATGAGAATGTCATTTGCCTAGAAATGAAAATCCCACAGATTTTTAATGAAGTGAGAGTCTCAACCCTCTGCAACTGCACAGATCTGACGGTGGGTGGAATCTGCCCAGTGGAAGGGAAGGCCCAGCGGTGGGCCGGCTGGGCTCTGTGCCGTGGGGCAGGACCCCACCCACCCATGCCTCTCTCTGGTGCCCCACAGGTTCTCCTCATCCTGACTGCCCTGCAGCCCTCCATTTTCTCAGTCTTGGCCAATGGCGGACAGATTGCTTGTTCACCTCCCTTTTCCTCTAAAATCAGGTCTCAAGGTGAGCACATGGAGGCCCCTATCCCATCGTGGGATGGATGAGGTAGGGAAGAGTCGGGAAAGAAAGGGCCTCAGACAGACATTAGGGCAACTGACTTCTGCTCAGAATGTTCAGAAGGGATCTCCAGGAAATCCCAACAAAGGCTTTAAGGAAACTATGACCTCTCTGATCACACAGAAGAGAAGTGAAACCCCACAGCTTGGGGACAGCCCAGAGTGCCAGCCCAGAAAGCCACCGGTTCAACCGTCAGCCTCAGGGAGAGGAATGGGTGTGGCTGAAAAACAGAAGCCCATGTTGATTGAACACACATAAGAAATGGACTTTAATGCTAGCCTCAGATCACAGAATTAGACAGCCAAGTTCTGGTTCTGGCTCTACCGGTAACCTGCTATGTTATTTATGATAATTTTGTATCCCTAAGTCCTAATTTGGGGATAAATCGGAGAAAGTGTTGCTCAACTCATATGCCGGGGCTGCTGGTAAAATACCACCTCTATAACTCAGTGCAACCTACGTTCTATTTCGCCCCACACTGCAGTGATGAACTGCCACCTCCTCATACTGGAGACTTTTCTAATGACTGTGCTGACACGGACGTACTACCGGAGGAAAGACCGCAGGGCTGGGTATGAAGCTTTCCCTTCTCCAGACCTGGACTTGACCCTCAAGGCCTAAGGTGGATGGCCTGGGCAGTGAACGAGATGCTGTACTCATTAGAATAAAGACTTCCTTACTGTCCCTCAACCTTGACCAAATGGGGAAGCATTTCCATTGTCAGCACAGGCCGGCAGACTCCATGTGACACGACAGATGAAGGTGAACACTGTGTGGGATAAAACTGTTTTGGATCTTGCCTGGGGAAGGTGTTTTAAGTTTTGTAATAAACAAGATGAAGCCTGAAAATGTGTAACTGGGCACACGGCCTCTGTCCATGTCACTATGGGTCCTTCAGGGTTGTATATTGCTGGCTGGGTGTGCTGGCTCATGCCTGCTATCCCAGCACTTTGGGAGGCTAAGGTGGGAGGATCGCTTACGCCCAGGAGGTTGAGGCTGTAGTGAGCGATGGTTGTGCCACATACTGCAGCCTGGGGGACACAGGGAGGCCCGGTCTCTGGAAAAAAATAAAGGAAAGCTTACTGAGCTTTCCGAAGCAGATGGAAAGAGGAAGTACTGTTACTGGTATAAGAACAGAACTTGGTTACGCAAAATAGCACCTGCCCAAAGTCTTGAAGAAGCCAGGCCTCTGGAGAACAGATGGAAGGTGCTCCTTCCCTTACAGACGTGTCACCAGGGCACCAACCACACGAGGCCTGGGGGTGCGGGTCAGCCTTGCTTTGTGGCACACTGGCTTTTGAGTCTTCGGTGACAAGCTACAAAAGGAATCTCCTGATACTGTGGGCATGGGCTTGATTTCCGAGGAGAGAATGAGTATGCAGAAGCAAAGGTACTGAGAGGCCAAGTAAAAGTCCCAAATCCACAACATGTGCCACACACAGGTCACAACACAGGAAATGGAACGTCAGGTAAAACCACATTGCCTTTATTTGGCTAAATAACAAAATCCAAATAACTCAGAACAAATTAATAATGGACAGGAAAAGTACAGACTGAGCCCCAGCTGAGGAGCTCTTCCCTGTGGGCTCACACTGGTGATGGGTGGACATTGACGACGAAGTGAGTAGTCCTTTCCAAGACTCTTGTCTTTTTTGGGATCCTCAATACAAAACAACCCAACTAATCCAGGATATGTGTTCAAAACAGCTTTTTCCTCAAAAGGCGGGAAGGCCCACTTCAAACCTACAGGAAGACAATCCAAGTCATCCCAACGCTAACCCCGCTTCTGTTCTCTACCTCAGTCCAAGCGCTAACATAAAACTTCGGCAGACAAAAAGCTTTCAAGAAAATTAACATTAAATGGTATAATCCCAATAACATGTTCTACTTCTTTACTTGGAAAAATAGAAGCTAGGCACCACTCTTTATTCCATGACAATCTATACTATGAGAGAAAACAAGAATAATCATTGTTATGACTTTGAAAAATATAACCTTTAAAAATACTTATATTGGTAAGCTTAAAAAAATAGCATTAGTTAAAAACATTAAGGGAGCTTTCTTTTTCTACCTGTATTGGTTCAACTTCTGGTGAGAATGCATGCTGATAGAAAATCTAGAAGCTATGGCTTTCAGAGAATTAAAGAGAAGCAGCAAAATAGAATTGATTTGGAAAGATTTTGGATAAGTGATCTGGAACAGGATTAAAAAGGCAATGAGCCTTGAAAATAAGCTACCCATAGTCAAGATAATCCAGGAAGAACAAAGCCCTGTGAACCATGGTGGAAAGGTATCTAGAGATAATCTGACCAGCTGTGCAGCCTCGAAAAAAATCCGGACTTGTCAGCGATCAGAAAGTGACAAAAGTTTTCTCAACTCCCTCACGTGTTTTCTCTTCTTCAGGATTTTCACCTCCTCACATCCCTAACTTTCTTACCCAAGCCTCAGCAAAATACTGGTCTCTGGCTCTAGCTGTCAGATAGCTGCAGCAGTACAAACGGTCCATTTCTAGGCCTCTGAAGTTTCAACCTCCCTCCCTCAGTGCTTCTGAGCCCAGCATGAGAAAAGAGCAAGCTTTCTGTCCAGCCCACCTTCAGGCAGAGGCAGCGCTGGCACCTCCTCAGCTCTAGCTGCCAGGCTCTGGCCCTGGCCTTCTGCTGTGGCTCTACGGCCAGCTTTTCTGGCTCTGTCATCTCGGCCACATTTGGCCCCTCCATGTTGACTGCTTTCTGGTACGGGATTCGGGGAAACGGCTCCACAGCCTCAAACACTGATATCTGAAGAGTTAGATCACAGGCCTTGTGGTGTACAGACCTCTAACCTCATTCAGGTGGGCAAAGATGATCACATGATGCAGCAGTCCACCGCTACCCACGCCTGTCCAGCACCTCAGAACATGTTTCCCGAAGTATCTAATATGCCACACCATAAAAGTTTTTAGCTTTCAGCCAAATGAACAGCTTTCAGTCCAAACTATTAGACTGAGGGGGTAGGAGCTCAGCAAAAGGGGAAAGGAGTCTCCCAAGGCCATGTACGTTTGATGGCCCCAGCAGTCTGAGAGGCCTGTCAGCCTACAGGTCCCTTTCCAAGCACAGGGCACGCCGGCAGCAGCCCAGTGAGAGCGGAGGAAGAGGGCTCAGACATTTGGGACCCAGACAATAACTCAGGAGGTGTGACTCCAACCGGGAGGGAGGAAAACCACATTCAGGGCCTCTGTCTATCCAAATACACTTGCACAATGTGCGCTCTGAGGGACAAGCTGGGCAGCTTCGCTGCCTTTCCACAGCGGGGAGAACAAGTCAGACAGAAGCAGGCAGAATTCCCAGAAGGAGAAGACCGAAGCAGAAAAGTTCAAAGACGAGACTACACAAAGCCAGGTAACACAGGAAAACACTAACTTCAACTGTTTCAAAGACAGGATTCCAAGCCAAAGCTTGTACGAATCAGGTTTGATCATAAGAACTGCACTTCGTGAGAAGAGTTAGAAAAGCCATTTTCATAGGTCGCCAGGACAGGAGGCTTCGTTTGCCCTCTCCTGCCTTTCTGAATGATCCAAGTTTATTTTTTATTAATTATTTCTCTATGTGGCTGTGGTGTTTTTTTTCCCAGCTATTAGACATTGGAGACAGCATCTTGCCTTGTCAACCAGGCTGGAATGGAGTGCAATGGCCATCTCAGCTCACTGCAACCTCCGCCTACTGGGTTCAAGGGATTCTCCTGCCTCAGCCTCTGGAGTAGCTGGGATTACAGGCATGTCCCACCATGCCCAGCTAATTTTTTGTACTTTTAGTAGAGATGGGGTTTCACCACGTTGGTCAGGCTGGTCTCAAACTCTTGGCCTTAAGTGATCCACCAGCCTCAGCCTCCCAAAGTGTTGAGATTATAGGCGTGTGCCACTGCATCAGGCCTGGGTAATCCCAGTTTTAAGAGCCTCGGTAGTCCTGCTGTGCAGGCAATGATTCTAGCCTCTGACCCTCAGGCGGAAGAACAGGTGTTACCAGGAAGTGTTCAGGGAGTGGACCATGAGATGCTCACAGTCCTAGCAGAGAGGCAAGAAAAGAGAAAATGTGGTTTTCGGAGCTGAAAACAGTGACACTTCACCCCCACAAGGGGTATTTATGAGTGACAGGGGTGGGGCCTGGACATAAGCAATTTCCCCCTGAATCTAGCTATAGGGTCACGGGTGGTTGATGATCTGCGAATCCATGTAGCTAAGGAGACGGCAGGCTGAGGCTTTGAAAGTTAGATCATGCTCAACAGCAAGGGTTCACCATTAGCATTCTTCGATTTGAAATCCAAGTGTTGAATCCCCTGGGCAAGCTAACGCAGGAGATGGGGCCACAATCACCAGGCGTGTGTGAGAAATGGGGAGAAAAGCTACCACACTCTTGTCACATGAGGGTATGCTCTGTGGCTTGCTGGAGGGGCGGCGGAGGGAAGTCCCTGCCAGCTGCAGCTCTCAGAGGGAAAGAAACACTCTGTGGAGCACTGGTTCCAGTGAAGAATGTTCTTAAGAGGGACAGAGGTCAAGATGATAAGGCTGTTGCTTTAGAAAGGAAGGTGTTTCCTTAGGCTTTTGCTTCTACATTCAATGCAAATCCAAATATTCAATATGGCTGTGAACAAAATGAATTAACATCAAGTTCCAATGGCAGACATTTACAAAGTACCCTTTCTAAAAGGCTAGGCAATATTAATAGCATTCAAATAGGAGTAGCAGGGCCAGGCACTTACTCCCAGTAGGAAACTCTCTCAACGGACTCGGTATAGGGTTGAGTATTGTGCCGCTCCGCTCCTTATCAGTCACCCTAAAAGTGTTCCTTCCTTCAAAGGTAGATGGCAAGGAAAGAGACTGACGAAAGCTCCCAAAGAACTGGGCAACAGAATTTTCTGAGAAGATGAACACAGCAGAAATACTGCGGTTGATGCCATGGGTCTGGTTCCATCCCCATCAGTGTCTTCATGGACCCCATTGGGTCCAACAAGAAACTCCTCAGGGAGTAAGAAAAGTGAGGCTCAGATCTCCTTCTTCCCACAGCCACAGTGGCACTGGTGACAGCAGCACATTGAGGGGATTTGTGACTGTAATTCGGCTTTTAGCCTTTCCTTAAGGAAATCAAAACTAGGATATTTCTCCACAGATTACCCATCAGCACGGCTCATTTCGGGAAGGACTTGGCAAGCCACTTTGCTTCAGAACAGAAGGCAAATGCTATAGTGGACCAGGAAGAAAAGGCCTCTGTGGATTACACTGCCTCCTTCTTCTGCCCACTCCTCAGGGGCAAAAAACTAGTTCTACATTTGAAAGACTAATTTAAAAAATTAATAAAAATGACAATTTCCCTGTCGAGATCACGTGAACATAGCATGAACGTGAACATACCCTGGGGAGGGTGAATGGATGCAGAGCAGGCTTCTAGGGTGCAGTCCACCTCCTTGGTGGGGTGAGTGAGGTCTCCTGGAGGATAGGCTGTTTCGGTTCCCCCAGTCCTAGGTCCTCTTGCCTCAGTTGTCTTTCCTTTGTAGCTGTCCTTAGGTTTAGTGTTGGGGTCACAATTTGGAATTCAACAGAGAGTTTCTGAAGGTAATGGGACATGGGGAGAAGAGAGGAAAGGAGGGAGGAAAAATTAGTCTTCTTCATCCTCACTGATATCATAGGCTGCCACCTTGCGCCTGGAGAGATTTGCTGGGGAGCAAGGTGGGGAAGTCTTGCCAGAGAAGGGCCATCGGAAAGAGGGGGAGGGGGAGCGTTCACGAGCAGGGCTGCTGCTGGGACTCTGCTTTGGACTGATGGCCTGGAGCATCCGGCCTTTCCCCTCTTTCAGCATATGTTTCTGGAGAAATCAAAAGGAAGAGTTAGAAAAAAACCTGTGGATCCTACTAAATCATCCCTGAAGCATCTGGGACTAGGGTAGTCTATGCTACACTCCATATTTAAGGGATCTCACCTGCTATCATCCCCTGGGAAATTCCCCATTCGTCCTGAATAATCTATTCTAGTATCCAAACACCCTCACAGACAGATCCTTCCTGTTATCTAACCTAGGGCTCACCTGCTCAATCCTGTATTGGATTGAAAAGACAGCTACTCCTCCAAGACAGAATTCCCACCTGACCTCGGGGTCCTGCTGTAGCTACTTGGAGTGGAGGCTGCTTTCTTTTTATTGTTCTTTATTCTTTCCTTTCCTGCCACGTAAAATCATACCACAGAAAGAAGCCAGGCAAGGCTACTTGCTTATCTTGTCACCAGATTTCAAGGCTGATAGAGAGCTGGCAAAATTATCAGGACAATGTGTAACCGCTTTCTGTAAAGATTTCAGAAACCTTTTTGGGGACAGTTGAAACACAGTTCTGCCCAGATACGGGGAACAGATTAGATAACTTCTTAATGTCGACGTCCCTTTCTGCTCAATGATTCTATAATTCTCTCCACAACATGGGAATTCCCTAAATTATCCAGTGGGAAGAACATACCAGTGCTCCTTCTGGACCAAACATTTCCAGAAAACTTCCGATGAATTCTCGGGACTTCTCCTCCCATTTCTGAATGAGGTCAATGCTTTTTTCCTCCACCTTCTGAACAAATTCTTTTGACTTTTCCTCCACATCTTTCACTTTCTTCTTTACTTTATCAACCCTCTCCTGCAAGTGGTATTTCTTCTCCTAGATTAAGAAATAACTATTTTGAGAAATAATACTCATCCTAAACTTCCCTGCCATAAGAGAAAGAAAAAACATAGCCCACTGTTTTCAGTCTAGAATTTTGCTTTGCTTTAATCTCCCCTACATCATTAGCATAATAACAGCTAAGATATATGCTGTGGAATGCTCATACGAAAGGTGGTAATTCTAATACTGTGGGCATTGGGGACTAAAGTAAAAACACGGGCTATACCCAGTAGCGGACGGGCGCACAGCCAAACGAAACATAGACTTGGAACATAAGCATGTCCAGGATGACCCAAATCTCACTTTAAATGGAGATACAGAGGCAGCTAAAAGATCACTGCAGAATACTGCCAAGAATAAAGCAATTACAATAGACTGAAAGAGGAAGTACTAGATCTTTTACTTCATTAATCTGCTTATCATGCTAGATGTTTCCCCTCTATCACTGGTTTATTCTATTTTTAAATGAGTTGTGGTTTTTGCTTTTTGTTTCTTCGGTATTTGAAAGTCCATTTACTCATCTGCAAAATGATGAAACTCTTTGGTCTTGCCAACTTTCCTAAAGATAAGGAAAATGGTATAAGCCTTCTGGTGGAGGGAAGGAAATATTTAGTCAAATGAAAAGTATCGTTGGCCAGGCACAGTGGCTCACGCCTGTAATCCCAGCACTTTGGCAGGCCGACGTGGGAGGATGCTTAAGGCCAGGAGCTCGGGACCAGCTGGGACAACACAGCTGGCACAACCAGCTGGGACAACAACTAAGAATAATTTCTGTATTCTTAGTAGAGAGGGGGTTTCACCACATTGGCCAGGCTGGTCTCAAACTCCTGACCTCAGGTGATCCGCCCATCTTGGCCCCCCAAACTGTTGGGATTACAGGCGTGAGCCACTGCGCCTGGCCCATTTTATCTGTTCTCACAGCACAATTCACAGAGATGGGAACAGGTGAGAGAGCATGGTAAACAGGTTATGTAGAAGACATTAAAGTTAGCAGCTTTCTTCTTTTTAAATCAACTTTATTGAGGTCTAATTTATATACAAAATATATAGTGTTGGCCGATACAGTGGCTCATGCCTGTAATTCCAGCACTTTGAGAGGCAAAGGGGGCCACTTGCTTGAGGCCAGGAGTTCGAGACCAGCCTGGGGAACAGGGCAAAACCCCATCTCTACTAAAAAAATACAAAAATTATCCAGGCATGGTGGCACATGCCTGTAATCACAGCTATTCAGGAGCCTGAGGCACCAGAATCACTTGAACCCAGGAGAGTTTTTTTGTCTGTCTGTCTGTTTAGAGATGGGTCTAGCATTGCTGCCCCAGGCTGGTCTCAAACTCCTGGTCTCAAGCAATCCTCCCGCCTCAGCCTCCCAAAGTACTGGGATTACAGGTGTGAACCACCGTTCCCAGCAAAATATATAGAGCTTCTAAAAGGCAATATTAAACTAAAATAAATTTAAGCTTTCATAAATCAAAATTTAAAGCTTAGGTCTATGTGGAGAAATTGTATGCAAAATGTTGTGTGTCATTATGCACACGGGGAGAGGATTCATAGCTTTTAGTAGATTTTCAAAAGATCATCCAACCAAAAAAGAAAAAGGAAATTTAAGAGACACTGTTTTAAATTTATTAACAGAAATTCTCTACTATATAAATTACGCATTCTGCCGGGCGCGGTGGCTCACACCTGTAATCCCAGCACTTTGGGAGGCCGAGGTGGGTGGATCACCTGAGGTTGGGAGTTCGAGACCAGCCTGACCAACATGGAGAAACCCCATCTCTACTATAAATATAAAATTAGCAGGGCATAGTGGTGCGTGCTTGTTAATCCCAGCTACTCAGGAGGCTGAGGCAGGAGAATCACTTGAACCCAGGAGGCAGAGGTTGCAGTTAGCCAAGGTCGCACCATTGCACTCCAGCCTGGGCAACAGAGCAAGATTCTGTCTCAAAAATAAATAAATAAATAATAAAAATAAATTGTGCATTCTTCCTTATTTAGTCAGTTGTGTGGCTTTATATGAATGTGTTGGTGCGAGGCCATCATGGCAGAAACTGCTGTTTCCTTCTCTTTGCAGAGTTAACACAGTGGTGATTCATTCGCTGATCTTTTGGGGGTGATCATTAGAACCAGCTGCAAAGCCAGTTCAGTGAAGATGCAGTGGGAGGCAGTATGCACCCTACAGAGTGGGGACTCAGGTGAGGCTGCAACTCACGTTGATGAAGCTGACATTGAGCTCCTTCGCTGTGTAGCCCCGCTGCAGGTTCCGCCGCGCATACACATCGTAGTCCCGCACAATTCGGGTGATGATGTCTGATGTGGAGATGCCTTCTGTCCTCTGTGTTGGAGCAAACATGCCTAACTCAGAAACACATACAGACAGACACTGTGAAGTTCTGGTTGGCTCCGGTGTGAGGACTACATGGAAACTGGGAGCAACATTCCTTTCCTTTCCTCAAAAAGCAGAATCTGTTATTACTAAATGAAACTGAGATACTGATATACAGAAGGAAGACTGAATCAAAGGCTAGAGGTAAGACAAAGAAGAGTTACGTAGCCCTAATATTAAGAAAAATATGAGGAAGCGTTCCTGAAATTGAAAGATCAAAAGCAGATGTTTAGACCAAGAATCGTTGGATGTCATGAACCGATGATGAAGAATTGATGGATGCTATGCTCATCTTTACCTTTTACCCAAAACGTGACCTGAAAGAAGATGTTAAACTTCTAACGGACACATTTTCCTCTGTAAAGGAGCACTATGGCTGAACATCTGCAGCTGCCCCTGAGATTCCATGAAGTGAGGATCACATCAGCCCACTCACCTGCTTCCTTGATGTGCTTATAGACATCATCGCTGCCAGCAGATGAATAAGGGATGTCATCGTGGGCTACAAAATCAATCTGAAAATAAGGAGACGTCATTTAAAACCCAGGATAGCTGCCTTTCAGAAAGACCCAGGAAATGTTCTCAGGCCGAGAAAAAGAACAATAAGCAGACGCCAGACTTCAGTGGACTTTGTATCTCTCTTTTCTTTGCTCATAAATTCTACAATCTACTCATAAATCACCGACCTCATTATTTATGGAGTATAATATGAATTTAGCCAGCTGCTTTTCTAGCTATTTCTACTAGACTACCAGAACTGTTACCCTCACTCTGTATACCGTCACCTTGCAATGTCAGTAGGGCCAGAGGGTTTGCTGGTGAGCCTGTTCATGGGTGCAGCCTAGGAAAGGTGGAAATCTCCCTGTCCTAGGTCTGGAAGGATTGGTCAAATGAGGGTTTCTAAAAATATGAGAAAGAGGTTACTTCTTTCTTAACTGGTTTCTCTCAGTCCAGGAGAAAAGAGGGAACATAAAAATAGCAACCACGAGTCCTTTGGCTGGAATAGATACGTCTATACTCCTGAGAAATACAAACCCAAAGCCAGAAAAGAGGTTTTATTTTCAGGATCTATCATTTTACTACTTTTTTTTTTTTTTTTTGAGACGGAGTCTCTCTCTGTCACCCAGGCTGGAGTGCAATGGCACGATCTCGGCTCACTGCAACCTCCACCTCCCAGATTCAACTGATTCTTCTGCCTCAACCTCCCAAGTAGCTGGGGTTACAGGTGTGTACCATGACACCCAGCTAATTTTTATATTTTTAGTAGAGGTGAAGTTTCACCATGTTGGTCAGGCTGATTATGAAGTCCTGACCTCAAGTGATCCGCCCACCTCGGCCTCCCAAAGTGCTGGGATTATAGGCGTGAGCCACCGCGCCAGGCGATCTTACTACTATTAATATCCTTTGCAAGAGCAGGAAGAGATAAATGGCTCTGGGGTCTCAGTGTTGTTCAGAGACATGCCAAACTTCACGTGCTCCTTCCTGAAAGGGCCACAGGCCTTTTGCTAACAGTTACTAAGATCACTATACCAACTCCCAGAGGCTGCTGCAGTGTGAAGCACGCTGACTGGAGCTGTGTCAGAGATCCTCAGCTGGCATCTCAGTTACTCATGAACAACTTGTCAGGGATCCACAGGCAGCAAAGTAAAGAGTAGGAGGTTGGGAGGATCACCTGAGGTCAGGAGTTCCAGACCAGCCTTGGCCAACATGGCAAAACCCTGTCTCTACTAAAAATAAAAAATTAGCCAGGTGTGGTGGCGGGCACCTGTAATTCCAGCTACTCAGGAGGCTGAGACAGGAAAATCGCTTGAACCCGGAGGCAGAGGTTGCAGTGAGCCGAGACTACCCCACTGCACTCCAGCCTGGGCAACAAGAGCAAAACTCTGTCTCAAAAAAAAAAAAAAAAAAAAAAAGAATGGAATAAGCAAAACTCACAGTTGAGTATATACTGCTAATAAAGAGAAAAGGGAAGTTAGAAACTCTGCTAACCTCATACTTCTGTCTGGGGTTGTCCAGCTGTGATGCTGAGAATAAGCTTGCTTATCACCTTTGGTGCCACTGGCTGCTAAGTGCTGATGTGGAAAAGCCAGAGAATTATAAAAGGTCTGTCCTAATCCTCAATATCCTCAATCGTCATAATAAACATCCCCTCTTCAGGCCTATGCATGTATTGCTTTAGAAGCACTCTGGCTGCTTTTATTCTGTCTGCCTCCATGAACAGTTTGCCTGCAGCATTCCCAATGCCCCTGTAGGGAGCTGACCACATGCTTGTGTGTCCTCAGGCTTGGGGGCCCCTAACCCGGCCTAATAAATCCTTCTCATCTTTTATACCCAACTTTTACAGGAAACCTGTGGCTTTTCCTTTTTTTAAATAGAGACAGGGTCTTGCTATGTTGCCCAGGCTGGTCTTGAACTCCTGGGCTCAAGCGATACTCCCACCTTGGCCTCCTCCCAAAGTGCTGGGATTACAGGCATAAACCACCAGACCTGGCTGACATCTGTTACTTTAATGTGGGAGAATTAAAAGGAGGAAAGGGGTTTTATAATAACTCACTGAGTAAAAGTGAGAAATATCCTTAACTTCTGATTCCACACAATTTCTAGCCTAAGATCAAAGCCCTGAAATGAATCTTAAGAAAAGTCCATGTTAATCTGCCTTGTTTCCCAGTAATGTAAGGTCTTCAGAGTGTGCCTGGGGCTATGGATATGCTAAGGAAACTGGCATGCTGTAAAGGGTGGGGGGAAAGTCACTAAGAGTTCAGTTCCCGGCCCTGCTAAGTGTTACTTGGAGCAGGTTACTTGGTTTCTCTAGGCCTCGTTATTCATATGTGAAGTGGAAATGACAACCACATCACAGGACTGTTGTGGGGAGAAAATGGAATAGAATGAATGCAAAAGTGTTTGCAAACCGTCCAACCCTGTGTAATGTCAGGGATGACTGCCACCACTTGGAGTATCACTGTCAGCTCCTATGAAACCTACGAGAAGGTAGAAGTAAAATAGGGCTAGTGGAAAACTAGCCCAAGTGCCACAGGCATTGAGAGTTGAGGCAGTCCTGGAACAAGGAAGGGGACATGTGCCCGGTTTCTTACCCGGTGTTCTGCCAGGAACTCAGGTGTGAGGGTCCAGGGCGCATTCCTCACTACCTCATCCACATAGCGGCAGTGCTGGACTGCATCGTAGCGCTCATTCTCATTCATCACCGTGAAGCCCTTGAAGTTGTGCGTTAGCTCATCGCTGCAAACTGAGTTCACCACACCAGAAAGCCGTGAGTCAGAATCCTCTTTGCTTAACCACTCCCGTCTTCTCCCACTTCTTAGGATTGCAACCATCTTCCCCAACTGGAGAAAAGTCTTCTCAAGGTAGTTCAACTTGGGCAACAATGCCTGTCCTAACGCAGTGTATACTTTCAGGAGCAACACTCACTAAATAGTATGTTCATACTTTGGATAAGAAACAGTGCAACAGGGGACCAAGATCTTTGACTCTGAAATAAACCTGCTGTGCATGTCTGTATCAATTAAGTTCTTAAACATGTTTTCCTGTTTTATTAATACTGGACTGGACCACATAACATTTTCTTGGCAGGCTTTTGTAATCCAGTTGATTCAAAATGATAAACTGAAATCTAAAGGAAATGTTTTTAAGTAGACAACAGAAGTCACTGTTGCTCCTGTGACTGCAGAAACTCCACTAAAAACAGTGAGATAAATGTCAGCTGTCACAGTCAATGAGCTTGAAGCTCCTCTCTCCAGGTTTAGGTTGCTATTACCTCACATACGTCACGTGTTTGAGAGAGGCTGTACTACATCCTTCATTTAAAAACGAAAACAAGAGCCATGTACTCAGGTTGTAAAGACAGAAGAGAAAGAAAGGCTACTATCATCTTTTCTGCACAGCACCCGAAGTCATCGGATGTTTTCTTACCTCCCACGATGAGGTATGTATTAGGGAAAAGGTTCTTCGCTTGCATCAGAGCTCGGGCATGACCAGAGTGAAATAAGTCAAATATTCCATCGGCATAAACTCTCACGGGCCGCTCACCTAATACAAGTGAAAGAATTTATCACAAAAATACATTTCTTTTTGAGACTGAACCTTGCTCTGTCGCCCAGGCTGGAGTGCAGTGGTGCGATCTCGGCTCAGTGCAACCTCCACTTCCCGGGTTCAAGTGGTTTTCCTGGCTCAGCCTCCCGAGTGGCTGGGACTCCAGACACATGTCATAACACCTGACTAATTTTTGTGTCTTTAGTAGAGACGGGGTTTTGCCTCATTGGCCAGCCTGGTCTCGAATTCCTGGCCTCAAGTGATCCGCCCACCTCAGCCTCCCAAAGTGCTGGGATTGCAGGTGTGAGCCACCGCACCCAGTCACAAAAATACATTTATTCAATATCCTGTACTTGGCAGATGGAAATGGCACTGTGTGACTGTTCCGTGACTGCACACTCCTTTAAGGTGTTCTCTGGGTATTCACCCTGATTTTGGGGGTAGGTGGGATTATGAAAAACAACATCACAGACTTCCTTGACTATAAGTAAAGACCTTTTCATTTTTTTCTGGGACTGGGTCTCACTCTGTCATCCAGGCTAGAGTGCCATGGTGCAATCATAGCTCACTGCAGCCTCGACCTCCTGGCCTTAAGTGATCCTCCCATCTCAGCCTCCCAAAGTAGATGGGATTACAGGTGCACACCACCATGCCCAGCTAATTTTTTAATTTTTTGTGGAGACAATGTTGCCAGGCTGGTCTTGAACTCCTAGACTCAAGCAGTCCCGTCTCGGCTTCCCAAAATGCTGGGATTACAGGTGTGAGCCACCATGCCCAGCCTATAAAGGTATTTTTGACATCATCATCTCCACTAACTGTCTTTGTTAGCCTGGTTGTACCAAACTTCTCAGGCACAAAAAACAACAGAGAACTGACTGTCAACTTAGAAGCAAGGAAATTATTTCCTGGGGTACAAGACTAATTCCAAAGCCAAATAAACATTAAAAATGAAACCAGCATAATGGTTCATCAAAGTTTACATAATAAATCTAAGGTGTCCATGTAACTTATTTCCTTTATGTGAATAAAGGAAGAGCTATTTTACTGCAGCACCAGAAAGTAACAGTAGCAGCATCTGCGTCATTTTGGGAAAGACGGGCCAAAGTGCCATCAGATGTGCTACACTGAGGCTGAGGATCAGGCACATCTCCTTCCTGTCTTAAGGGCACAAATCAAAGGAAGGAAGTTGTTCTCAGGAGGTTTATGAATGTTTGTTTTCAAAAAGCTTTATTCATAAACAAGTAGATTTTAAACCAAGAAATTATACATTGCTGAAAGGAATATCAGCGACTTTCCAAAAGGGTAATTAGGTAGTATCTATCAAAAGACAAACAACAAATGCCTATATCTTTGGCCTAGCTATTCCAATTCTGGGAACTACCTCATAGTAAATATAGACGTTATTCATCGCGGTGCTGTTTACAATAGCAACAGTTAGGAAACAGCCTAAATTTCAATGGAAGATTGAATATAGCAATAATACACCCACAACAAGGTGGGAGGATATATAAATGATTTACTTAGATATTCATGGAAATTGGTAATATTGGTTGCCTGTTACAGGGACACCAGGTGGCTGTGAGACAGATCTTGAGAGGAAGACATTTTACTTTATGCCCTCTTTGTACTTTATGGATATTAAACTGTGGGAATGTATTGATTTCCTTTGATTTGATTTTTTGAGACAAGGTCTGGCTCTGTCACCCAGGCTGGACTGCAGTGATGTGGTCTCAGCTCACTGTAACCTCTACCTCCCAGGCTAAAATGATCCTCCCACCTCAGCCTCCCAAGTAGCTGGGGTTACAGATACACAACACCATGCCCAGCTAATTTTTGTTTTTTGTAGAGATGGGATATCACATGTTGCCCAGGCTAATTGTTTTGTTTTCTTTTGTTTTAATGAGACGGAGTCTGGCTCTGTCACCCAGGCTGGAGGACAGTGTTGTGATCTAGGCTCCCTGCAACCTGTTTCCCGGGTTCAAGTGATTCTCCTGCCTCAGCCTCCTGAGTCGCTGGGATTACAGGTGAAAGCCACCATACCGGGAAGATTTTTGTATTTTTAGTAGAGACAGGGTTTCACCATGTTGGCCAGGCTAGTCTCAAAACTCCTGACCTGAAGTGATCCACCTGCCTTGGCCTCCCAAATTGCTGGGATCATGGGTGTGAGCCATCACACCCAGCCTAGGCTGGTTGTACTGATTTTAAAATACAGCAAATAAAAATTTTTAATTATACCACCAATCCAATGGAAAACTAATAATTAATTTAATGGATTTAAGAGTCAGAAAGGTCATAGCTCAAGCTTGCCAACCAGCTTTCTTCCTCTGTAGCCTTGGCTTCCTTCTGCCTCAGTATTCACCTCTATGAGACAAAGCAGGCTGGGTGTGGTAGCTCACACCTGTAATCCCAGCACTTGGAAGACCAGGGCAGGAGGATTGCTTGAGCCCAGGAGTTTGAGACCAGCCTGGGCAACACAGTGAAACCTATCTCTATTAAAAATTATTTTTTACTGCCAGCATGTGTCAACGAAAAAAGAAAGAAGAAAAATAATTATTTAAAAAATAATTTTTACAAAAACAAAGTAAAATAAAACAAAATCTGAGCATATAATCCCTCTTCCATATCCCAGAAATCACTGCATTGGCTCTGTGCCTATTAAAAAATAAAAAATTTTAAAAACTTTGGGGCCAGGTGTGATGGCTCATGCCTATAATCCCAGCACTGTGCGAGGCCAAGGCAGGCAGATCACCTGAGGTCAGCAGTTCAAGGCCTGCCTGGCTAACATGGTGAAACCCCGTCTCTACTAAAAATACAAAAATTAGATGGGTGTGGTGGTGGGCGTCATTAATAATCCTAGCTACTTGGGAGGCTGAAGTGGGAGAATTACTTCAACTTGGGAGGCAGAGGTTGCAGTGAGCCAAGATCAAGGCACTGCGCTCCAGCCTGGGCGACAGAGCAAGACTCTGCCTCAAAAAAAAAAAAAAACAAAAACACACGCACACAAATTTTAAAGTATCCCAGAAGTCATGTCCATGAAGTAACTAACACACTTCCGTTTTTCCTAACAAGTCCAGAGGGGCTACAAGTCTCACACTATTTGATCCTAAAACACAAGGACAGAATATAAAAAGTAAGACTATTTTGTTGTTTGTTAGCTACTAGGCAGCACACAGCCGGGAAGTTATGCTCAAGAAACACATTGCCTGGACGATGGCAGCAGCACAGAACGCTGCTGATCAGGTGGCTGCCACAGCACAGCTACTCACCCCGTGTTAAGCCGAGGAGGTCACTGAACCTTTTCACGAGTCCCAGATGTGCCTCTTGCTCTCTCCAGTGCTGCCCCAGCTTACTTATCTCAACTGGCCACTATTCCACCCCAAGTCGTTGGCAAACCCAGACTGACATATTAACCAAATGGCCAGCAGGGGCCGCTGTTAAACTAGTCTGGGAAGAAAGCTAGCATTAACCATTCTTACCAAGCGGCTGCTGGCCAGGATAACCACACCCCTGATTTATATTTGTTGTTTCCACACACGTATGTGCCGAGACAACAAATGTATATTATAGTATGTATAACATTTATATAAATCATATACTTTTAATATAACTTTTAATGTTCATATCATTATATAATATATATTATACATCTTATAATATATCCTTTATATATTATACATATTATATATGTGCTTGTGTGTGTATATAAATATATATATATATATATATATATATATATATATATTTTTTTTTTTTTTAAAGACAGGGTCTCTGTCACCCAGGCTGGAGTGCAGTGGTGCAATCATGGCTCACTGTACTCTAGATCTCCTGGGCTCAAGCGATCCTCTCACCTCAGCCTCCTGAGTAACTGGGACTATAGATGCACACCACCACATCTGGCTAATTTTTAAAATTTTTTGTAGAGACGGGATCTCACTGTATTGCCCAGGCTGGTCTTGAATTCCTGGCCTTGAGTAATCCCTTTTGCCTTGGTCTCCCAAAGTGCCAGGATTATAGGCAGGAGCCACAACACTCAACCTCTGTATATTCTCAACAGCAACTCCCTTTCATGCTCAAAACTGTCCTGATTTGGATGATAAATTATATGGTTTCTATGGATTATGAATTATATGCTGTACCACTGGTGACTACGTAACCATATGTCCTCCCTTAGGCAGAAGAAACCTGGGTTTCAATTAATGATCTCTTGTGATATATTTATTCTCCCAAATACCTACCACCGAAACATTCTGTCCCTAACAGATTTCCATTGCCCTTCACATTCTCCCTTTTTCTTACTTTCTCTGAGTTAAACATACTGCTGATTTTTTTTTTCATCCTCCAAGACATTCCCAGAGCTGACCTTCTTATCTCTCCAATCATATTTGTTTTTCTCTGAGTAGAGAATCTTCTCCTAGACTATACAACCTTCCCAGTGAAAACATGGGGAGCAGGAGGGAGATGTTTAAAATTCACTACAGCACGTGCACATTCTTTATTGGTTTATTCCTTGTCCTGCACTGGCATGAATGCAGTTAGCTACTTGGTGATTTAACATAAAACAGTCAGACAAAATGAGATATGAGAGAAAAACCAGAGTTCAAATGAAGCTGGCAAATTTATAGGCTAGTTTGTGCCTGTTTGTTCCACCAAAAATACAATTATTTTGCCGAAGGCCTTCTATTCTAGTGCTTACAGTAAGTGGCAGCATTCCAGGTTGAAGCTTTAGGTACAATTCTATCCCGCTAATGATCTCTTTTACTGTAGGCTGGGTACAGTGGCTCACTGCTGGAGTCCCAGCTACTTGGGAGACTGAGATTTGAGAACTGCTTGAACCCAGGAGGCGAAGGTTGCAGTGAGCTGAGATCACGCCACTGCACTCCAGCCTGGGCGACAGAGCAAGACTCTGTCTCAAAAAACAAAACAAAACAAAGCTTGAAAGCAGTACATATATTTTCAACTTTTACATACCACAAATGGCATGTGGACAAATTAGCAACAAACTGGGTGATGCAACCAAACTGATCAGATCTAAATGAATAACTGATTCTAAATGTGTGTCATTAGGGAGTACATAAAAAGTTCTTGCTCCCAACAAACTCTACTATCACACCTGAATGTGAACCTAAACTATCTTTTGGCATTTTGAAGTTAGACCTGCCCACCTTACACTCTGATCCATATGGTCTCTGGTTTTCCTTGTCATTTTACCCTGTCCCAGGAGCCTACCTATTACCCAAATAAGGGAAGCCAAACTCAAAAACCATAAATGAATCAGAGGGTTGCAATCAACATGAACTATATCTAAACATTTCTGCAAAAGGGACGGATTCTCTGGGATTAGCCTCTTTTTTGTTTAGGACCCAAAAACCACAATACATATGCCCAAAATAAGGCCAAGGGGTAGGTGTTAAAATTCCTGATATGACACTTGTATCACTTGTTTGTTTTTTGTTTGTTTTGAGACAGGGTCTCACTCTGTCACCCAGGCTGGAGTGCAGTGGCGTGATCTTGGCTCACTGCAATCTCTGCCTCCTGGGTTCATGCAATTCTCTGCCTTAGCCTCCCGAGTAGCTTGGCCTATAGGCGTGCACTGCCAAGTCCAGATAAGTTTTGTATTTTTAGTAAAGACAGGGTTTCACCATGTTAACCAGGCTGGTCTCGAACTCTTGACCTCAAGTGATCCACCCACCTCGGCCTCCCAAAATGCTGGGATTACAGGCGTGAGCCACCGCTCCTGGCCCACTTCTATTTGTACTTCACTGTTCTTCAGTTACGACAGAGAGCAAACCTACCAACACAATTAAGAAGTAACCACAAATAAACTGTGTATGCTGCAAATATATACATTTATGGCTCTTATTCCCTGGCGTTTGAGTCTTAGTTCAGCCCTACATTTACAGGATAGAGAGAATACTTATTATAGTAATCAGAAACAGTGAAAAAGGATTGGGAAAATTGGAGAATTTACAGAGAAAAAAGAACATTTGTCTATAGGACTTTGTATTCATAACAAATGCTCTTGGAAGTTTCTTTTTATATTGAGCTCTAAAACCAATTGTTCCACATAAGAAAAGCATCTTGAATATATATTAATAATTTATGTGGTCAAAAACTGCTAATTAATGATGTAAATTAAGCACACAAATAAAGAGAAAGGACTTTGAAAATAATAAAGTATTTTTTAAAACTTGGAAAATTATAATATCAGGAAAAATAAAGTGATGAGCATCTCCCAACTTGGGATATTTTTGTCCTCTGTCAATCAGCAGGACCACAGAAAACTGACAGAAAGTAGAAAGATTGTGGGGGAAATTCTGAAGGCTATGAAAAATGTGACAGCCTCAACTATTATTCAGACCTTTATAGAAATAGACAAGAACCAGCTCAGACGAATATACTATCTTATGGTTTCTGTTCTACTGTATCTCATAGCTGCAATAACAGCCCAGGAAACTGGGAAAGTTTATGGAGTGGAGTTACCCTCCTAAATAGAGCATCAAGGCCGATGGGAAGAACCCCTTCCTCCATTAGCCTTTACAAGTAAACGGAGGGAAGTATTTAGAGACTAGGTGTGTATTTGATCAACACAATGGAATGCTAAAAACAATAATCAACAGCAAATTAAGTAGGTATTTACTTACAAGGAGTTCCTCTACTGGCTTCTTCCATAGTTACCCTGACATAGGGCTTACTAAAGTCAACTTCAATTTCATCAGAAAAAGGAGCTGGTTGCCGCAAGCCCTTAAGAAAAGGAAAGTGAATGAAAAGAAAGTTCAATTCAATGGCATACATGGAAATACTAAAAAAATGGCAGCTTTAAAGAAAAATCAGTTATTCGATATGATGTGACTAAAATTCTTCCTGAAACATTGTAACATAAAAAAGAAGGGAACAAAAGGTATTCCAAACCGACAAATGAAAGTTGTAATCTTGTACAAAATGGGCAAATCGGGGCATAAAAAATAAATGTCTTGCAGGTGATTTCAGGTTAAGATGGAGCCATCTGTCTGGGAAACCAAGCACAGTCCCAACTAACTGGGTCAGGAATGACGGCTCCTCTGCAGCATGGCAAAACAGCCAGCCCTGTATCATGTGACAAACTGCCAAGATGCATAAATGCACTTTCTTTCTTTTCTTTTTTTTTTTTTTTGAGACAGAGTCTCACTCTCTCACCCAGGCTGAAGTGCAGTGGCATGATCTCGGCTCACTGCAAGCTCCACCTTCCAGGTTCAAGCGATTCTCCTGCCTCAGCCTCCTGAGTAGTTGGGATTATAGGTGCCCGCCACCACACCCAGCTAACTTTTGTATTTTTAGTAGAGACTGGGTTTTGCCATGTTGGCCAGGCTGGTCTCAAACTCCTAACCTCAAGAGATCCACCTGCCTTAGCCTTCCAACGTGCTGGGATTATAGATGTGAGCCACCGCGGCTGGCCCCTAAGTGCATTTTCACACCACTTCAACCAGGAACCCCCTTCGCTGTCAGGGGGTCTGCGTGACCAAGGGGTGCAGCAGAGCCAGGTGTTCGGCTCCCTGCACCGGCAGGGGGCAGGAACGGTAGTGGAGGACCAGCTCAGGCATGCTGGGGAAGGGCCCGCTGTGTTGGCCCAGCACCACCTGGTTCTCTCGGGTCCGTGAGAACTTCAGATGCAGGAACCCCTGGCTAGAGCAGGTGCTTTATTAAGTGTAATTATTGCTGTGTAGTGCTTTACACTGTAAATATGTTCTAATGCTCATAACAGCCCCGTAAGGCAAGAAGTACTGTAACTGGTATCTTCAGTTTAAGGATGAGAGGAACGAGGCAGGGCACAGTGGCTCATGCCTGTACTCCCAGAACTTTGGGAGACCAAGGCAGGCAGATGACCTGAGGTCAGGAATTCCAAGACCAGCCTGGCCAACATGGTGAAACCCTGTCTCTACTAAAAATACAAAATTAACCGAGCATGGTGGCATACCTGTAATTCCAGCTACTCAAGGGGCTGAGGCATGAGAATCACTGGAACCCAGGAGGCAGAGGTTGCAATGAGCCGAGATCGCACCATTGCACTCCAGCCTGGGCCACAGAGCAAGACTCAGTCTCAAAAAAAAAAAAAGAATGAGAGAAACGAGATTCAGAGAAGTTATGTAAACTGCATGCAGTTACTCAGAGGCCAAGTTGAAATCATTATGCAGACATGTTGATCTCTCTATTATAGATGGCTTCACTTAAGAGTTTTTATTATTCCTAAATATTTTATTTACTTGATGCTATTGTGAACAGAATTGTTTTCTTAATTTTATTTTTGGATTGTTCCTTGATACTATGTAACAGTGCAGTTGATCTGTATTTGTGTTTGTGTAACTGAGCTTTTCTGTATATTGATCTTATGTCCTATGTCTTTGCTGAAGTTAACTATTACTTCTAGTACCAGTTGTTGTTTTATCAATTCCCTGGCATTTCCTACATATAGCATCACGTTGTCTGTGAATGAAGATAGTTTTGCTTATTCTTTTCCAATCTGGGTTTTTGTTTTTGTTTTTTTTTGAGAGTCTGGCTCTGTTGCCCAGTCTGGACTGCACTGGCACCATTTTGGCTCACTGCAACCTCGACCTCCCCGATTCAAGTGATCCTCCCATCTCAGCCTCCCAGGTAGCTGGGACTACAGACATGCACTACCTGACACCCACGTACGTTTTTATTCTGGCTGAGACAAGGTCTCACCATGTGCCTAGGCAGGTCTCAAACTCCTGGCCTCATGCAATCCTTCCACCTTGGCCTCCAAAAGTGCTGAGTTTATAGGTGTGAGCCACCACACCCAGCTAATTTTTCGTATTATTTTTTTAATTCAGTCTCCATAGAGACTGTCAAAAAAATTGCTAATGCTGACTATATTGCAAGTCATCACAGAGGGGTATTGGGAAAAGTTTTCAAGTAGTAATAATCATGCCTCAGATAAACCTCAGTGGCTACTGTGCAAAACTTTTTTTAAAATTACTGCTACTGTGCAAAGCTTTTTTTTTTTTTTTTTTTTTTTTTGACAGAGTCTGGCCCTGTCGCTCAGGCTGGAGTGCAATGGTGCAATCTTGGCTCACTGCAATCTCTGCCTCCTGGGTTCAAGCAATTCTACTGCCTCAGCCTCCTGAGAAGCTGGGATTACAGGTGCATACCACCATGCCCAGCTAATTTTTTGTATCTTTAATAGAGACGGGGTTTCACCTTGTTGGCCAGGCTGGTCTCGAACTCTGGACCTTGTGATCAGCCCACCTTGGCCTCTCAAAGTGCTGGGATTACAGGCGTGAGCCTCTGCGCCCAGCCTGCAAAGCTGTTTTTTAAAAATTATTATTAATTTTTTAGAGATAGGGTTTTGCCATGTTGCCCAGGCTGGGCTCGAACTCCTGGACTCATGCGATCCACCCAGCTCAACCTCCCAAAGTGCTGGGGTTACAGGTGTGAACCACTGCACCTGGCCTGGGATTTTTAACTATTGTTTGTTTCTTTTTTTCTTTTGAGACGGAGTTTCACTCTTGTTACCCAGGCTGGAGTGCAATGGCACGATCTCGGCTCACCGCAACCTCTGCCTCCTGGGTTCAGGCAATTCTCCTGCCTCAGCCTCCTGAGTAGCTGGGATTACAGGCGTGCGCCTGTTAGAAATAACCCAAATGTCCATCCATGAATGGATAAACAAAATGGAATGTCCATACGATGGAATATTATTCACCTAAAAAGGAATAAAGTACTAACAGATGCTACCACTTGGATGATCTTGAAAATATTATGCTAAACAAAGGAAGTCAGACACAAAAGGCCACATATTGTATGATTTCATTTACATTAGATGTGCAGACTAGGCAAATCCATAGAGACAGGAAGTAGATCCGTGGTTGCCAGGAGGTAGCTGGAGGGGCAATAGGGAGTGACTGCTAATGAATACAGGGGACTTCTTTTTGTGATGATGAAATGTTCTGCAATTAGATAGTTGTGATGGTTGTACAGCAGGATGAATATACGATAAACTACTGACTTGTATACCTTAAAATGGTTAAAATAATGAATTTTCTCCAAATTTAAAAAGATATATTAAGTATCTTTCACAACTGTTTCTTCAGTCTTTTTCACATACTTTGTATGTTTCCAGGTAGAAGACAAATCCAGCTGTCCTTCCTGGCTGGGGTTTATGCTGAATCAGTTTCTCCCAAGCGTAGGGAGTGAAACCTAACGTTGTGCAACTATAACAAAGCAGCAAAATCTTTTTTTTTTTTTTGAGATGGAGTCTTGCTCTGTCGCCAGGGGTTTCACCATGTCGGCCAGCATGGTCTCGACCTCCTGACCTCGTGATCTGCCTGCCTTGGCCTCCCAAAGTGCTGAGACTACAGATGTGAGCCACTACGCCCAGCCCAAAGTCTTTGTTTCCAGAGTTGTCTTCAGTTAGAAAAGTCAGTATTTTTAAAAACACCGTGTAATTCTCAAAGAACAGTGTCTCTAGAAGTGGAGGTTCATAAAAGTAGAGCTGAATATTTCTATGTTCTCCTAAAACACATCTCCTTCATTTTAACCTCAAGGGAGTTCCTACAGTATTGCTTTCAAGTCTTAACGACTATCTGGTAGTGCGGTATAAATGGAAGTGTGTGGGGTTAGGACTTGAAAAATTTAGATCTAAATCCCAACTCCATCATTTCACAGCAGTGAAATCACAGCAAGTTTCTAAAGCTTTGATTTCATCTTCTATAAAACAGAAGACAATAATACCTGCCCTACAAGTTTACCATGAGGATTAAACAAAACAGCATCCACAGAGTAATTAACACAATGTTTACAAAAGTCGGCACTCAACAAATTCAGCTCATTGTCATAAGCTCGTTTCCTCTTTATTCTATAGAATGCAGATTTCAGCATGCTAACAAAATTAACCTTTATTAATCTAAGAGGTTGGCTTCTAAAATGCTAAACTTTCAAAATGTATGCAGCTAAAAATTATAATAATGGCCATCAACCATCCCCAAATTATGAATTCTCTCTGAATGCAATATTGCTTCCATAACAACTTTTTTCAGACTATATTCACACACATTATCTCACTATTCTTCAAAATTTCAGTGAAAAATGAGAGATTCTAGCATCCATACTAACAGGGAAATGGAGATAATTCAAATAAGATGAGACTAGAACTTGATATTGTCTTCCCAAAGTACACGTTTTACTAAAAAGTTTCTGAATGCCACAGAAAAACATTTATTTCCCTTTTACCCAAACATTCTGTATTAATGATAACAGGTCCTTCCGTGAGCCCAGCTGTTTCTATTTTTTTTTTTTTTTTTTTTTTTTGAGATGGAGTTTCGCTCTTGTTACCCAGGCTGGAGTGCAATGGCGCGATCTCGGCTCACCCCAACCTCCGCCTCCTGGGTTCAGGCAATTCTCCTGCCTCAGCCTCCTGAGTAGCTGGGATTACAGGCACGCGCCACCATGCCCAGCTAATTTTTTGTAGTTTTAGTAGAGACGGGGTTTCACCGTGTTGACCAGGATGGTCTCAATCTCTTGACCTCGTGATCCACCCGCCTCGGCCTCCCAAAGTGCTGGGATTACAGGCGTGAGCCACCGCGCCCGGCCACTGTTTCTATTTTTTTAAGAGACAAGATCTCACTTTGTCATCCATGCTGAAATGCAGTGGTGCGATCATACCTCACTGTAACCTTGAACTCCTGGGCTCAAGAGATCTCCCTGCCTCAGCCTCCTGAGTAGCTAGGACCACAGGTGCACACCACTATACC